TTTGAGGTGATTATTGGAAAGTAAAGTTGTGTAAAATTTGTTACAAGATCTTCCTATACTGGAAAGGATGAGATGTTTCTTTGGGGAAGCTAGATAGCATGCTTTCTACTGACAAGGACCTCTTGTCACCAGTCCAAAAGGTTGCCAGATACCAACCTGAAAAAAATAGACTTTTCCAGAAAATGTATCTTGCTGTTTTTGTACCCATATATCTATATCTGTCTATCTATCTGTCTGTCTGTCCGTCTGTCTGTCTGTATATATATTCTCCCCCACAGTGTATGCCTTTTGGGAGAGAAGGAAACATTTCTGATAAAAACCCCTTCCTCTTTCTCCCTCCTTCAAAAAAAAGGCAAACTGTTTGAAAGATCTGTTACGGAATGCTGGGACAAATCCTGTTATTATGGATTTATAGATAAAGAGAATTAATTGAACAGGAAATTATCACTTTCATAGTACAGCTGTGCAGGGAGCCATAAGAAATAGATTTGTAGTATTTACATATAGTATATAGTATTTACATGCAGTAAGTCCATGTATATACATAGGCTTATGGCAATTTGTTAAGACAAAAATGAGATAGGATCAGTATTTTTAAAGAGAAATGTGATTTCTTAACTTTCTCTTTATAGGTCCAGCGGAAGGTTCTGGAGAAAGAAATGACAGATCTTGGACTCGACATGACTAATAAAGATGATGTAAGCTTTTTGTTCATTAAATATTATGGCTGTCTACAAGAGATCAGTTTCATTGTATGCTAAATTTCTTTGAAAACTTTTGAAATATGTATTACAGTTAGTACAAGAATGAGGTGGGATCTATTAAGGAGGAAATGTGAAATCTGAGTGAGGGGTTATAAACAGGCTGGGGTACCTGAACATCCTCCCCTGGTATTTATAAAGAATCACAAATATATATATGCACTGCTTTCTATTAGAACTTGGTATGAATTTGTATATGGCTCAAGAACTTGGTATACAAATTGGGATCAGCTAACCAGACTTAACATTTCGAGACTGTCTTGTTGGTTGGAATACTGTCATATCAGAAATAGAAATAGTGACAGACCAGGCTCATCTTTTTACAATTCATTAATGCTATGAATTCTGGTCAAAGTTCTTGATTGCCTGGCTGGCATTTCTAGTTGCTGTACAGTCTCGGAGTGACACTTCAAAACCTAGATTCACCTTGGGGAATCATTTTATTTTATCATGTATTTAAAAAAATCCATTTTGTATGGCAAATTCAGCAGTATTATGGCTGTCTGAAGCTTGAGACCTTCATTCTTGAAATACTAGGGGCTGGGGAACAAGCAATGTCAGCATTATACCTCTGAAATAAACATTTGTGGTTTTCAGAGCTGACATGCCATGTTGATTTAAGAGCTGTCTCAGTGATGTCCTTTGTCCTATAAAGAGAGAGCAAGTAATCAGACTGGATTCCTTCATTGCTTTTTTGGCTGCTGTTGTAAAATTGCTTCAATACTGCTATCCATTAATTTTTCTATCAGATTGTATCCACAAGTTTACTCAAAAAAAATCAGAAAACTGTGGAATTATTTTTTAAGAGAACATGCTAGTATTCTTTGAAACTTGAATATTGCTGTAGGACAGATAAAGAATGATGAGCTGTTGACAAGGTCTTTATGTTACTATGGCACAACCAGACTGATATATCACAGCAGTTCATGTCCAGCTTCTTCATACCTAATTTGAAATGAATGAATATTAAATTGCTTTGCAAAGACAACTTGTATCTGTGGAGATTTTTCCATTTTTAATAATTAAGATGGTGTTCTGAAATTTCAGGCACATTATGCAAGAAGGTCCCGTAGCGTTACAAGGAAACGTAAACGTGACGAGTCCGAAACCCCTAAATCTGCAGCACGCAGTCGCAGCTCCTCTCGTCCCCCACGTGATGTCTCTGGTCTTCGTGATGCTAAGGTTTGTTAAATGGATCTACCCTTGAAGGAACTAAAATGGCATAATTGTATTTAAATTGTCTTCTGGGAAGCTTAATTCTGAGATGGTTGGTTATGAAGAAGATCCAGGAAAAACAACTATTTCCTATTCACCTCTCTTCCTTGAGGCTTCATGTTCTGTTGGTTTGAACACCTTTTACCTTCAGAAGTGCTTAACTCATTCTTAAAAGTAATGGGTAGTAACACAGATTTGAAAGGGCCTTTTAAAAAAAAAATAGGTAAACCTATTTGGAGAATTTATTTATTCACTGTGTTTATTTGTTTGTTTTTAAATAGATGGTGAAGAAAGTTAAGACCATGGCAAAGAATGCTCAAAAGAAAATGAATCGCATGGGCAGGAAAGGAGAATCCGACAGACATGTATTTGATTCTAAGCCAAAACATCTGCTGGCTGGGAAGAGAAAATCTGGTAAAACACAGAGAAGATGAGCCGCCTGAATTAAAGCATAAGTTTATTAAAACTCATTTCTGGTCCTGTTTTCCTTTTTAGCAAAATTGGAGTATTAGAAAAATTATACATTGGTAGTGGAAAGTAAGATCCCTGAATCCCCAAGAGGAACAAGTCTCGGATCTTGCTCTTGCATTTCTGTGCGGGTTAATAACACCATGAGAAATTCCTGTCAAGATCTCTGGCAGAAACCACTCCTAAAAAGACACGTCAAAAACACCACCTCGTTCCATTTTCTTATTCCTGAACTTGTAGCAATGTTAAGTATTTAATTTCATGTAAAACTAGATTTATAATGAGTTAAAATCAAGCAGTGCTTGGCAGTAGCACTCCCATTGGAACTAAAAGTGCACCAGACCTGAACCAGCAAGGCAAAGCTCCCTGCGCTCTTCCTGGGTGGGAGGTGAGGGTTTGTGCACTGACCTAGTTCTGCATGAATGGGAGATGCAATTGTCCACCAAGCTAAACAAAGACTGAAGCTGCAGAGGTAGCTGCTCTACATGGGCATGCAGAGTCACAACTTGGATTTTTAATATTTCAGATATGCAAAAGAGTCAAAATCTGTTGTTAGTTCCTGTCAATTATGCTACTGTCATCCCCAGTTAAGGAATACATTTTTTCCATAGGGGCTCATGTCTCTGTGCTTGGGACAAAATATATTCTGTCAAATATTAAATATTCCTTTTTGGTCTCTAGCTAAAAAAACAAGGTAGGAAATATCTAGAGGTTAGTGAAGTTATGCATAATGAATCTGTTGCATGCACAAAACAATGATAAAAGTTTTTACAATTAAACTGAAATCCAATAAAATACATATGTAAAATAGTACCAAAATGGCCAGGGGAGAAAATCCTAATCTTGTTCTTCTTCTTTGAACTATTTGTTTAAACACAAGAAGGAAACAGGATTGGTCAGCTGCCAACTTACATACTGGAGCATTACATAGAATTCTCTTTACTTTCCTCCTCTACTAAACAGTTTTGTAAACAGTTTGAAAATATTTTCAAATTCTGTAAAGAAGTTTAATGTTAAAAACCCATAACTTTCAGGAAAGTTTTTTTTAAAGGGAAATAACAGCAAAATTTTGGTTTCAGCTTCCTTGTGCACACTATTTCTATTTCAGATATGTTCTATCAGCTTTTGCTCCAAGTTGGCCATTTGGACTAGATTAGTAGAATTTTGTTAAAATAAAGTTATGCCCTGCTATTCCCAAGCACATAACACTGCTTTAGTGATGTTAAATAAGCAGTTTGTTCTTTTCAGTGCAGTAATTTCAGAAGTTACTTTCCACATGGCTATAAGCTTAGGAAAAAAAGAAAACAAAAATGACAGTCCACAGTTTGAAGTATTTTATTCCTTAGTCTTATCTTTAAAATCACATTTCTTTTAAAAGTACACCCTAATACATTACGAGGGTAATGTAGCTGATTGCACTGAATTCAACAGAGCTGTTATTTTACGGTTCCCTCTCCCACCACTATTTGCTGTAAGAGAACACATCCAGTACACAAGAACTTGACCCTAAAACTTAAATGATGCTGGCACATAACTTCAATGCTGCGGTTGTAATTGTTGAGATGAGAGGAAAAAAAAAAGCATTTGAAAAATCTGCTTTTATCATAAAACCAGGTGCAGATTAGTTACAATTCTGCTTCACATACAGCGAGAACTGATTAATGTCTAATGTTATTAGAAAATCTCATAGAGATTAACCTCAAAGAAATACAGCTTTTTGAATAGTGTGCTATTAGAAGACATCACAATTAAAGCCTTTTTTGGGGAAAAAAAAAAGTACGTAAGTTCAGATTTAAATATCCTTCACTACCCACTGTCTAATTAAAAACAGCAACAGAAACAAAACAAACAACAACCCTATTCTGTTAACCAGTAATCAACCGCAAGCTCAAGAGGAGTAGCTCTAACACTCAAGTAGAATTTCTTGTTAGCTAAAATTAAGACTTAGTGTAATGCCATAAACTCTCAAACTTGAATTTTGGGGTTTAAACAACTCAACTACTTAAATCACAGGCTTGAGTTTTCAGGGACTTCGCAAAGGGTCTCAGTAGGTAACTGCAATAAAAAAGCTTTCATCAGAGTGTCCATTTTGTGGAAGCTGGAGAGGTGCCATGCATAGCACATCCATCCTCCAAAGAACCTGCCTCATGTCAGGTACCTAGCACTCGCATTTGGAATAATTAACCATTAGTTTCTATTTAAAGATGTTCAGAAAACTAGCCCGTATTTAGTTGTTACTTAACCAAAAAAGGGGAGTTTAAGCCCTGTGAAGCTAAACAGATACTATCTGTACTGAAGGAGCTGGACAGGTGATGTAAAGCTTCTCTTGCCAGCACATGTAGCCCTTACACAAGGAAATAAGAGCAAACTGGATGCACACAGGTTGAGGATTCTTTCATAGCCCATGGTGAGGGTCATGGTGAAAGACAAAGCCAGGAAGCTTCCTATGTTACCATTACTCTTTTTAAATGAGAGCAAGCTAAATTCACACAGGGGAAATGAGAGCTCGAGGGAGGCATTTGGAGGAAAAAAAAAAACCCACAACCATTTCTGGATAAAGTTATTTGTTAAATGTGCTCCATGTGGACTGCATTTTTTAGCACTTGAGTGAGAGTTGCCACACTGTTGGTGAGACAGCACACCACTGCCAGCCTTCAGCGCCTTCCGCCACTGGCTGCTTACATCCTGTGTATTCTTTCATGATCAACAAACTTGTTCAAGTTAGCTAAGTTATCCCACCACTTAAAAAGAAAGGTCTCTGCGATTAGCTTAAACCACGGAGTAATCTTAACTTCGTTCTTGGAGGCTTTGTCCAAGAGCTGTTTTAGTTCTTTCTGTGTCATGTAACAGTAGCTCTGGATTTCGTTAGGGTCAGGATTCAGTGTCACATCCTTCTGTACAAATAAGATATAGTCTATTTCATGTTCACCCCAAATCCCATCCGACTTGGCCTTGTAGTGAATTCGTGTCAGGTAAGAGATTTCTTCGGGTGTAACCTACAACCGAAACACATTTTAGAACAGGCAGCAAGACAAAAAAAAGAGTACAGGCCTCACAGAATAATTAACAGCTTCTCTCTTCTTCACAAATAATCACCATGAAAAAAAAAAGTTTAACTTTTAATTGCACTTGCACTTTTAATCACATAGATGGCCCAGTATTTCTCTAGCCAGATTTACCCTAGAGTATATTGGGCATTTTCTTTCTCTATACAATAACTTAAGCAAGTTTTAAATAGTGTTTACCAGAGCTCAATGTACACTTACTGAAGCACTAAATCAATACTGAAACACTTGCACTTTCCCCTTATTCCCAACCAAAAGCCCTGACCATCATTTAAAGCCAAGATCAAAACTTGGATTTAAATATACAACACTGTTCTGCTACGGACTGGTGCAAGTTGCAGACAAGGTAAGTAATTCCTGGGACAACGTAACCATCTTCTTTCCCAGTACCACCCTTCTGTTTTTCTCTCTGTTTGTGACACAAACATAGTTACATGGTGTAGGAAGAGGTTTCAACCACCAGCCTCAGTCAGCCGGTTTTGTCCTGCCCTCTGCGCACTCCTAAGTTGCCACCCGAAAAGAAGGGTGCCAGGAGAGGGCTGTTTGATCCATCTGGAGGCAGCACCTGGTGCTCTGACCACCTTTTCCTGCAGGAAACTTGGCCTGCAGGGATGCACTGCCCAGCAGGCCCAGCAGCTCTGCAGCCCCCTGCAAGAGAGTTCAGCACAGAGCCTCCTCACCCCATCTGGGCAAGCAGGAGAGCCAGCCCCAGCACCCACAGGGAGCACTGAAGCAACAAAATGTTTCATTACTGTGTGATTTACTCTTTGGCTCAATATTCTAAAGTCGCACTTAGTGAGATAAGCCTTTGAGACTCCAAAATATAGAGCAAGAAGTCTCATATTCATTAAATAATCCAGATCAAGAACTGAAGTTAAATTCAGTTTTAGGTCTCAGGCTGACCCTGTCTGCCAGATGCAGTTACCATGGGAAGTCCTGATAGTGACTGATGATTTACATTTCTCCCTTTTTCCTTTACCTGCTCCAAGGGAATTCCTAATTCTGCTTTCAGTCGTCTTTGTGCTGCTCTCCGAACACCAATGGCATCATTTTCTTCTAGTTCCAGGGGGTGGCTTAGTGGATGACTACAGCACGTGTTGGTAAAACAATCTGCAAGAAATTTGCATCACTGCAGTGTTTAAAACAGTAACCCTGTTTATATGTAAACGACAATTAAAGCAACGTTGGGGAGTTTATATTCAATAGAGTATTGAGCATTCTCCCAGAACTTGCAAAATTAACTGACATCAAGCGAATAAGCAGTTCATGCTTGTAATTATATAATGGGCCTTCTATAATCTGTGTCAAGTATATTAAAAACCAAGGCAGAGATGCAGCTTGATCCCTGATCTTTAAGAATTTAAAAATCTTTAAGAATCAAAAGCACCTAAAATACAATCTAGTTACCTACAAACTACACTTGCCATTTTGACTTATTCATGATTAAGGAAAATTATCTTTAAGGCAAATATTTTTTGAAGGAAAGAAAGATCTTTCTTCCTACAGCTGGAAAAGTTTAGAAACACAAAAGCTTGTTTTCCAGATGGAACTCCAAAACAGACAGTTTTAGTTTTTTTCCAATGTATCTCACATAAGCTATTTCTGTTTCATTCTACTTCTTATTTTTATGCTTCTTTGCATTTATAGGAATAGCTTGGGAGTCTTCCCAAACAACACAGTCTGGCTGCAGCCTCAGTGTTTCTAGAGGCGACAAGAGCATTTGTTAAGATTTACAGAGAGAGAAGGTCCCCTGCTCTGGCTGAGGCCCAACACAAATGCTCCCCAAGCAGGAGGACTCCACAACGTATCAATTACAAGTTACAGTGGAATAAAAACAATTCAACTCTGCAGAGATACTGCAGAGTAACTGCTCCAACTCTCCTAATTACGCCTTTCAGCAGTGATGATAAACACCACACACTCTACACTTGCAGACAGGATCAAACAAGTCATGAGAGACTCATTTCCCAAGAATATGTGTAACAATAAACAAGCACTCCCATTATTCCCTTGCTGCATCCCTGAGAAAAGTACTTCTCAAGTTCTTCTAAAAGTAAACATTGGTTTAAATAAAGCATTTTGATAAATGTATGTGTCTGCACTAACCTGGAAAAGTAATTTTAGCATGTGATCTCTGCTGCAACAACAGCTTATTTTCTGTATTGAATAAGAAAACACTGAATGCTCGGTGCAACAATCCTAAAACAGAAAGCATAGAAAATATTTAATGCAAAGAAAAAAAAAACATAAAAAGACAGTTTAATAGCATAGAAGAAAGGCTTTATCTTAGAAAACCAACAATAACTACAAAAAAGCACACACAAAAAAACCCAAGGAGCCTGCAACAGTCAAAATTCATTACCGTTTAAAAATGTATTTGCAGAAAAACTCTTAGTTAATTTCTATTTCAACTTAGAATTAACATTAAGAAATTACAAAAGCTTTAAGGACAACAAGACCAGAGGAGACACCAACTAAACTGTTAGCTCACCATTTTGATGATGCACATTCAGGTGCTATGAAGGCTCACTATCCATAAATTTATTATCAGAAAGAGATGACACTAAAACCCTGAACCTGCTGAGGGAATTTCAAGGAGTTTCAAGAATTTAGATGTGTGGTGGAAGGGGAAGCTTCCTAAGAATAGTAAAAATATTCATTCTTCAGGCTTTTGTATCCTTTGTATCATTCCTCAGAGCACCCATGAGTACACAAAGAAAGGTCACAAACTACTATGTGAAAATTCGCAAATGTGACCAACCAAAAGTGAATCTGATAAGCAATTAAAAAGAAAACAGAAAACCTTTGATCACCAGTAGCTGAGGCAGAATTCTGACTTAGCTACTGAAAAATTGTAGCCTCTTCTATTCATAAAGAACTCAGTGAAGAGGCATTTGTGTTCTTTAGGAGAGCCACACAGAACCAGTTATCTAACAGAAAAACAACAGCAATTTATCATCAAAATGCATGATTCCAAAGTACAGAAAGTATATGGCTTATATCTATAATCATCCCTTTCTCTCCTTTGCTGCTGCCTCTTATTGTTTGTTCCCCCATGTCGCAACTCTCTGAAATTCAATATTAAGCCTCATGTGGAAACCTTACCCCCGTTTGATCAACACCCACTAGCAAAAGGCTTGAACTTAATCATTAACACATTCCCAAAAATACAGAATCAAACCTAATGGTTCATTGAGCAATCAGGCTGCACCTTTATCAATGTTTTCATTCAAGTGACAGTTTTTCTTGGTGTCCGCCCCAATCCTGCGGTCGTTTTCATCGATGAGGATGCACATCTCGGCCAGCAGCTGCACCTGCTGCTCGTCCAGCTCGTCCGTGTTCACCTCGGGCATCGCGCTCCCCACACGCCGTCCACCGAAGACACTGACGGAGGCAAGAGGAGCCATTTGGCAACGTTAACACCCAGGAGATGCAGGCAGAGCACGAGCAGGGATTAAATGGCTCTTTTTCCTCACACGGTTGGTACCAGTTGTATTTTTAAGCTTTCTCTCTGACGTTTCCTGCCCACAATACACATCATCCTGCGACATAAGGTAGGTGCTTAAAGGTTTTTATTGCTGCTATCCAGAAACACCATGTAACTGCTGCACCTGCAGAACAGGACTCGAGCATCACATTTTGAGGGGCTGATAGAGTATTAAGAAATCAATGCTAAATTTCCCCCGGAATTGATGAAAAATGTGTCTAAAAGCACATTCTCTGCATGTTCTGCTCAGAAATTCTGCACTGCGCATACAGCACCAGAGAGACAGCACACAGCTGTGTATATATATATATATTATATATATATAGTTTCCCCTTTTGCCCAGTAAAACCGGGTAATCAGATTTCATGGGCCAAGCCCAGGAGACTGAGGCGTTTCCAAAATGGAAAATAAAAACACAACCCGATCCTTGCAACCTCTGCTCCCCTCCCCGTACCCCCCCCCACCACGAGCATAGGGTGAAAA